CGCTCTTCCTCGCATCGAGGCCGATGCCGGGAATCAAAAAAGAAAAGAAAAGGGTACGACCAGAATGGCGCGCGCTCTCCCTTCTGCGTCTCTCCTCCTCCATTCATGTCCTCTCCTCTTCCTCCTCCTCGTCCTCCTCTTCGGGGATGTGTTGCAAAGAAAGAGAGTTACAAGTTGGGAATCTGCACTGGGGAAGGGGGATACTCTTCAGACACTGCGGGGCACCCAACCTGCAACACAGCAAAGGGACACGTTGCTGCGGGCTTTGCGGGTGAAAAAAGACAGAAGTGGTGAATTTAAAAAGCACACGTATATAATGCACGTGTATTTATACACGCGAGTGAAGCCCCTGGCACTCCGGGAGATTTCTGGAGAAAACCTGGAATCACCGGAATTGCTTTGCAGCCCCGATCTGAAGCCTCCCGGGTGCCCCCGTCCCAGGAACAGCCTTGGCCCGTGTGTCCCCACGCACCTCTCGGCCGCGCTGGGGCGGGCGGGGGTCAGTAGGGTCTGTTGGCGTCCTTAGGCCGCTTGAGCTGCACTTTTAGCCGCTTCATGCCGATCTGGAAGCCGTTCATGGCCTGGATGGCCGCCTGGGCGCTGGCCGGATTGTCAAAGCTGACGAAACCTAGGGGCGAGGAGGGAGCAAGGACGGGGCCGTCATGCGGAGCATCCGCGTCAAGGGGCTCTGCGCGGCGGGGACGTCACCGCGGCCACCCCGCTGCCCTGGCGTCCCACTGCTCCCCGAGGCAGACGGGGAAAGAGGGAGGAAGGTGGCCAGGGCGGCCACCTCGGAGACAGGAAGGACCCCAAGGTGGGGGGGTCCTGATGTCCCTGCACCGATGGCTTCCCCCGATGCACCCGGGCGCTCATCCGCATCCGGCACAGCCGCCTCAAGGCCGAAGACTTCCACGCGCCGGGCACGAGCCACGGGGATGAGGGAGCCGCGCGGCGGCACTCACCAAAGCACTTGCTCTGGTTCGTGGCACGGTCCACAAAGACTTTGGCAGAGATGACATTGCCGAAAGGCAAAAACATCTGCGTGAGCTCCGCATCCCCGAACTCCTGGGGCAGGTGATAAATAAACAGGTTACAGCCCTCGGGACCTGGGTGACACACAAAGGACAGCCACGCGTCAGCCCCGAGGCTGCGGCGCCTTCCTCCTCCTCCGGCTGGGCGCCGGCTCCGCCCGGCGCAAGCACG